CATCCCCCCCCAAAAAAATATAGTCCGGCCCCCACAAGGTCTGAGGGATGGTGGACCAGCCCACGGCTGAAAAAGGTTGCTGACCCTTGATTTAGCTGATATTCCTGCATTGCAAGAGGTTGGACTGGATGACCCTCGGGGTTCCTTCCAACTCCACAATTCTATGATTCTATAATTCTGTGTTCCAATCCAAATCCTTCTCCCCATGCCTACTATTCATCGTGGAAGAAAAGCTTTCCCATGTGTCACTAAATGACATCTCCGTGTACCCTAGGTAAGAGGAGAAGCTGTGTGCTCCACAGACTCCAGATCTTCTCTGAAAACTGCTGTCCTTCTCCTCCCGCAGATCATTTCTTTCCTTCTCTGTGAGCATGCAAACAGCACATCTTCCAGTTCACATGCTTCTAGACCATGAATATTTTAGCACAACTGTAGTCTCTGCCAGTCCCACTGGCTTTCCTGGTGGGTGGCTAGGTTAGAATGTTTGAAGGGAGTGCGATGGGCTGGTCTGTTGACATTCAAGCGGTTCATTTCCTCTCTTTGTTTTCAGTGGTGAAAAAGCTACACCCCACAATGCTGTTAGGGTTTATGTAAGGTCAACTGCAATATCCCAAATCTAGCAATTCCTTTCTTCGCTGGCTAGGATGATAAACTGAAAATGGATGCCTTTTTTACTAATTAAATAGCTATTTTTTATTTTTTTTAGAAAGGAATATTAATGAAAAAAGTGCATATTGTGGTTAGGTGGTAGAAGACCAGCCTACTCTCAACATGAGCAATAATCAATGTACTGTACTGTAAAATGAATAAGACAGTATTGTAGATGATGAAAATAAAAATATTCCCCCCCCCTTACGTGTAGTTATGATAGCCATTGTTCTAAAAACCAAGGAACCACTGTAATGTGACTTTTTGTGTTTGGCATCCTCGAGAAAGCAGAATTGTCTGCTGTCACACTCTAGGCTGAACTATTGGTATGCATCGCGTGTGGGGCTACCATTGAAAAATGTTCAGGGGCCTTAATTCATGCAAAATAAGATTTCCAGCCTGATAAATAGTTGTATCTAGAGCCTATTTTGTGGAACATACAGTGCTAGTTTTGTTCTGTCTGTGCTGGTTACCATCATGTTTTCTGTCACAACCCTATCAAGCATTGGTCCGTTTATGTGCAGAATTCTTGAAAAACTGCCTCGTTCCACACTAATCAAATTTAGCCCTGTCTGTGTTTGTGTGTGTGTGGAACTTACTCACTTTTCATCTGATTGATTGTTCTCAACCACCCTTCCAGCTGGAAGAGGTCACTCCATCCCACCTTTTGTTATCTTTGTCCTTGTAATTGACAATAATGCATTTTGAATTGATTAAGAGCCTTCTCTTTCCTTCTCTCACACACATGCTCACCTTCTCTCATACATCCCCTCCCCTCTCTCTTACGCACATATGTACACACTTCTTCCCTCCTTTGCTCACCATCCTACACTCTTCCCATCTCTCTCTCACACACTCACACTCACAATTCTGCCTCTGCCCCTTTTCCTTCCTTTTCATTTCCATCAATTGCCTCCAACTGTGCATACAGACCAAAACCATTATGAAATAATAATAATAATAATAATAATAATAATAATAATAATAATAATAATAATAATTTATACCCCACGCATCAGACTGGGTTTCTCCAGCCACTCTGGGCAGCTCCCAACAGAATATTAAAAACATGATAAAACACCAAACAGTAAAAACTTCCCTAAACAGGGCTGCCTTCAGATGTCTTCTAAAAGTCAGATAGCTGTTCATTTCCTTGACATCTGATGGGAGGGCGTTCCACAGGGCAGGCGCCACTGCTATGAAGGTCCTCTGGCTGGTTCCTTGTAACCTCACTTCTCGCAGTGAGGGAACCACCAGAAGGCCCTCAGAGCTGGATCTCAGTGTCCGGGTTGAATGATGGAAGTGGAGGTGCTCCTTCTGGGCCGAGGCCGTTTAGGGCTTTAAAGGTCAGCACCAACACTTTGAATTGTGCTCAGAAACGTACTGGGAGCCAATGTAGGTCTTTCAGGACTAGTGTTATATGGTCTTGGTGGCTACTCATAGCCACTGATAGCTGTATTCTCCATGAATTTGTCCAAGCCATCTAAGATGGTGGCCATCTCTGCCTCTAGTGGGAGTAAATGTTCATCGTTTAACTGCACAGAGTGAAGAACTATTTCCTTTCATCTGTCCTGAAACTTTCAACATTCAGCTTCATTGCATGGTCAAGAGTTCTAGTGTTAAGAGAGGGAGAAAAGCATTTCCCTCCCCACTTTCTGTATGCCACGCGTGATTTTATACACATCTACCGTGTCATCTCTCACTCACCTTTTAACTAAGCTAAAGTGTCCCAGATGCTGCAACCTTACCTCAGAGGGGAGTCCCTCCATCCCCTTGATCATTTTGGTTGCCCTTCTCTGAAGGAACCATTCAAGCCAAGCAGAAGCACTCAAGGGCCATGTGAATAATGGCTGGCGAGGTGTGTGGCCTCAGGAGAGGCTGTGTGACCTGGCAAGTGTCCTGAGGGGCAGACAGAGAGATCCAGAGGGTTTCATTTGGCCCCCTGGCCTGAGGTTTTGCCTCCTCTGCACTAGTGCAAAGCCACCACTTTGTTGCAAATACAGTTCAAAAAATTCCAGCTGTAAAACTCAGCACCGTTCAACCAGCTGCAATTTAAAACAGCAGAAATCAATTATAAAAATCCTTCTGGAATTGAAAAAAAAGGAGAACATGTTTTCAAGGCATGTCTACAAGCCGCCATCGTGGTTTCTCCTCTCTGTTGGTCTCTCCCCCCTTCCCAACTTTCTGCTTCCTCGGCATAAGCTGAGCATGCTCTCCTCTGAGGAGGAAGTTGGGATCTCGTTGCCGCCATCCAGGTGGCTGACTGCTGATTTGACAATAGCGCTGACAGGACCTGGGAGGGGAACCTCGCTGCTTAAACATAGACTCCTTCCCACTTCCTCACAGCTCCATGTGCTAAATGGGTGACAGCTGGACTGCCCAGGCTTTTGCTTCTTCTGCAATCTCAGTAAAGCTACAGCTGGAAGCCACATGGCTGAATTTCACAGTAGAGTGTTTAAAAGGGCATTATCCCCTGTTGTACGGTAAAACCCAAGCAGTGGTTTTTGCTGAAAGATTGGTGGCCATGCTGTAAGCTCGATCCAGGGCGAGGAAGGGGAGCAGAAAGAAGAAGAAGAAGAATAGTTTGGATTTGATATCCCGCTTTATCACTCCCTTTAAGGAGTCTCAAAGCGGCTAACATTCTCCTTTCCCTTCCTCCCCCACAACAAACACTCTGTGAGGTGAGTGGGGCTGAGAGACTTCAAAGAAGTGTGACTGGCCCAAGGTCACCCAGCAGCTGCATGTGGAGGAGCAGGGAAGCGAACCAGGTTCACCAGATTACAAGACTACCGCTCTTAACCACTACACCACACTGGCTCAGAGTGCTTTGTTTGGACGTACTGTAGGACTTGAGTCCTGCTTGCTGGTTTCCCACATTGGCCATTGTGAGAACAAGATTCTGGACTAGATGGGCCATTGGCTAGATCCAACAGGGTTCTCCTTAAGTTCTGAAGGCTCACTTCTTTTGATGCTTGAGGCGTGTGTTTTCAGGGCCTACTTATTTCTGTGGCTCTGTTTAAACTGTTTTTAATTTTTAATTGCTGTAACTGACCTGGACTCTGCTGATGAAGGGCAAGTAATAAATGTAATTATTAACAACAACAGCCTTCTTAGGTACAGTGGTACCTCGGGTTACACAAGCTTCAGGTTACATACGCTTCAGGTTACAGACTCCGCTAACCCAGAAATATTATCTCGGGTTAAGAACTTTGCTTCAGGATGAGAACAGAAATCGGGCTCTGGCGGTGCGGTGGCAGCAGGAGGCCCCATTAGCTAAAGTGGTGCTTCAGGTTAAGAACAGTTTCAGGTTAAGAATGGATCTCCGGAACGAATTAAGTGGTACCCAAGGTACCACTGTACTAGTTTTCTGTTGTGACATTTTTCTTCTTTCTACAAACTCTGTGGTTTTGCCTGCCTCCTGTTTTGTAATATACTAAAATGCAGTGTTAGAAACTGAGATATGAACACTAGGAGCTAAATGGCACCTTAAACCTAGGTAATGGGAGCAACAACGGAATGTACAGGCACACTTTTTAAATAACAAGAATACAAAGCTGGAAATGAATGAACTACAGCTAAAATATCATGTTCATTTTTCACATGGTCAAGTCCTTCAACTGCCCGCCCTGCTAATATTCTTAAGAAGGTCTTTTCTCCACTCTTCAGAGAGTGGTTGGAAGTGGGGAGGCAGGAAAAGGCCCTCCTTTCCTTCCACTCTGCCATTTTAATCTGAAATCTTAGGCACAGCATTGTGCCCAGAGCTCAGCAACTGCTCGTGCTAATGAAATTCCTTGTTGCAAAATGCTCCTATAACAATGGGAGTTTCATATGCTGCTAACATGGAATTTGTAAACCACCAACTGACTGTCAAGACCAGGGGGGTGGGATCTGTGGCTCTCTAGAGGTTAGAGCCCTCCAGTTCCCACCATCCTTAACCATTAATCAGGCTGGCAGGGGGCTGATGGAAGTCAGGAGTCCTACAGCATCTGAAGGACAACAGGTTTCCACCCTTTTGGTAAGGCATGATGGCAGCTCCTGTGTATGTTTCCTCTCTTACTAAGTGGTGGAGCTTCTACTTTGCACGCAGAAGCTCCCCAGAGTCATTCATTGGCATCTCCATGTAGGTCTGGGAGTGAGCCCCAGTCTGAAACCATGGAGAGCCACTGCCAGTCTGTGTAGACAGTGCTTAACTAAATGGACCAATGGTCTAGTTCAATATAAGACAGCTTGCCTACGCCCCTGGCCTCCAAAATTACTGCCTCCAAAATTACTGCCTATGCTGACTCTTATTCTCTGCACACGTTGCTGCACTGGAAAGTATTAAGTCTGTTTTTCTTGATGTTTGAACCCAGGCCCAGCACTGGCGGAATGAAAATTATGAGCGGCCCATTGACCTGGAAGGTTCTGGAGATGATGACTCCTTTGAGGATGAAGAAATTGATGAAATCGAGGAACTCTACTCAGGCTCTGGCTCAGGATGTGAGTACATATTTAAGACCCTTAAAAGGAGGGACGTCGCCCTGCTGAGTGTGGCTGGATAGAAGAGATCACTCTTCCTCCTCCATTTATATTGGTGGCAGAGTTATTACGGAAAATTTGTGGGGGGTTTTGGTGGTGGTGGTGGGGAGAAAAAAGCCCAGAGGTTGAATGTAATTTTTTTTGGAATTCAGAAGCAGACAGCTGGTTAGCCTTCCAGAAGCAAACATTGTACAGAACATTGAATGCATTTATTCTCCTCATCCTACTGAATGTCTGGTTCATTTATTTAAAATGCTTATAGGCTTACTTTTAAAGGCCAAAAACCCTATTAAGGTGGCTTGCAAATAAAACATTGGTGGGAAGCCTCAAGCACAGTGTAGATAAAATTATTAATGGGGAGGACCATTAGCTCAGTGGTAGGACACATGCTTTGCATCCAGAAGGCTCCAGGTTCAATCCTTGGCACCTCCAGGTAGGGCTGAAAAAGACTCCAGTCTGGATCCCTGGAGATTCAGTCAGTGTAGGAATCCCTGGAGATTTAGTCAGTGTAGGAAACACTCAGCTAGATGGCTGACTTTGTAGACATAAAGCTTCCTGTGTCCCTACAGTGACTCTGAACAGTCAGATCCTAACCTTTGCTTCCCTTACAGATTTTGAGCAGGACTCTGGGATCAAGACCATTGTGCGGCTCAACACAGATGCACCCCTCACCCTACCTACAACTTCTCCCATGTTGCCCGCCACCTCTGTGCAGCCAGTAGCCACCCCCTTTGCACCATTCCCTGCGGAGGAAGCCACCTCTGACCCAGTAACAAGCAGCCTCTACATCCCCAGGGTGACCGAAGCACCGGCGGTCACCATCCGGAAAGTGCTTGGTACCACTGCTAGCACCGCAGCCCTTGATGCCTCTGCTACCGCTAGTACTATTGCTACCACCACCTCCACAACTGCTGCCACCACCACCACCACCTCTGCTACGATGCCCATGTCCAAGCCAACGACTGTCCGGAGAGTCCTGCCCCCCTTTATCACCATTGTAGCCACGACGCAGTCGATCACACTTGAAACGCCAACCATGGCCACCGAAGTTGCCAGGACGGAACTGAACACAGCTCCGCTGGTGACCACCGGCGTGACGAAGAGCAGGGCTGTGCCAAAGCCAAGCACTTCTCGGGAGCCAGACCGCAGTGAGAGGACTACCACATTGCCCCAACCCTCAAGTTCTACAGCACCTACAGAACCAGTCCAGGTATGGCTTGTTGTTCTTGTGATTTATTAACTTAAGCAAAGGGATGTCCCATGGAAGAGGGAGCAAGCTTCAAATTAGAAGAAAGGGGTTCCGACTGAACATCAGGAAGAACTTTTTGATGGTAAGAATTGTTTGACAGTGGAACAGACTCCCTCAGAGAGTGGTGGACTCTCCTTCCTTGGAGGTTTTTAAGCAGAGGTTGGATAGCCCTCTGTCATGGATGCTGTAGTTGATATTCCTTTGGATTAGATGACCCTCAGGATCCCTTCCAACTCAGCTCAGATGTATTTTCCCAAAGAAATAGAGAGCGAATAGTCTAGGGGGTAACCTAGGTCTATAGCCCACTTAATCATAACCTCTTTGACCTCCTCGTCCATCGTATCCCAGTCTAATAGTTGGTTATACATTTTGGTTAAGAGTTTGGTCTTCCCTTCAATTATTTCTAGCTGAAATTTAGACTTGTTCTTACTCATTCCCACTTTTTTATGTTCATTCCATAAGGAATTAATTTGGTGGAATTGTAGCCACCCCGTTAGTTTATCTTTTAATTCTTCGTAGGGCCTAATTTCCCATCCTTTATCAGATCTTATCAAAAGATCAGCATATGTCCACCTTTTACCTTCCATGTTTAGTTTCTTAATTGTTAGGATGTCAATGGGTGACAGCCACCATGGGGTGTCCTTTTCTACCAATCTCTTACATCTATTCCATACTTCTAGCAGCGCCCCTCTTATAATGTGATTGGAGAATCCTTTATGTACTCTCCCCTTATCGTGCCATAAGTATGCATGCCACCCGAATCTGGCATTAAAGCCCTCCAAGTCCAGTAGGTCGGTGTTATCCAAAACTATCCATTCTTTAATCCAGCAGAGGCACGAGGCCTCGTAGTATAATTGCAAATTCGGGACCGCAAACCCTCCTCTTTCTCTTCTGTCGGTGAGCAGCTTGTATTTAATTCTGGCCCTTTTGCCCTGCCAGATGAATCTAGACAAGGTCCTCTGCCAGTCCTTGAACATTGTTGTGCCCCTGACTACTGGGATGTTTTGAAATAAGAATATCATTTTTGGAAGGATACTCATTTTAATGGCAGCCATTCTCCCCTCCTAAGAGAGCTGTAATCTACTCCAGCTGTCCAGGTCTTTTTTGCACTCTCTCCAAATTTTATCATAATTGTCTTCCACTAAATTTATATTTCTTGGCGAGACCCAGATGCCCAAATATTTAACCTTTTTCGATATCTTTATCCCCGATTCGGACTCGATTTTGTTTTTTGATTGCTCATCCACATTTTTTACCAACATCTTTGTTTTGACTTTATTTAGTCTAAACCCGGATAACCTTCCAAATTCCTCCATTAACTCCATAAACCCCTAGACTATGAAAGATGGATAAAACTATGGAACAAGGACATGAAATTTTCAGCTTGTGTCGGACTCCGAGAGAACATGGAAAAGATGATGTACCGCTGGTACATCACCCCAACAAAATTAGCAAAAATGTATAAGACCGGGGATAAGACCTGCTGGAAGTGTAAGAAGAAAGAGGGAGACTTCCACCACATGTGGTGGACCTGTGAGGAAGTAAAAAGGTTCTGGGGCTCTGTCTATGATGAACTAAAAAAGATCCTAAAGTACACCTTCCCTAAAAAGCCCGAGGCATTCCTTCTAGGAATGGTGGGGGACGAAATTAAGAAAGATGACCAAACCCTATTTCAGTATGCTACGGTAGCCGCCAGGATACTGTTAGCCCAAAATTGGAAAACACCTAACATCCCAACAATCAGAGATTGGCAGAACAAGTTAATTGAATATATTGACCTAGCAATGATGACACAGAAGATCAGGCAACAGAAAAACACCAAATTTATTAGCGATTGGAATAAATTTCTCTCATATATGGAGACGGTTTTAGGAAACATCAAAATCACAGTAGGTACAATATAAAAACTGCGAGGTTGATATAACGATTAGTAAAAGACACTGCTGAATATATTACTTAGTTACAGCTCACGTCGTGGTGATGGGAAGTCAAATAACGTAACAGATCTGTATAATGATTTAGTACCTAAACATTATGGAATCTGATTCCGGTTTTGTTTGTTATTTTTTTTCTGTTTTGTTTTTTATGGATGATGTACATATGGTTTTAATCGTTGGAATAAAAATAAAGGTTTAATACAAAAAAAAAAGAAAAAGAAAAAAAAGAGAGCGAATAATGCAGAAAAATGAAAGCGGTAGAACACATCATGGAAGCCAAACTCCACAATTTGGCCGGGGGAGAGAATTTATCACATAAGTAATGACACACCAAACAACACAGAAAGGTTGTGGGTCTTCCTTACGCTTAGAAATATGTAATTTGTGAGTTATTTTCTTGACAGTAGCCAGAGTCCACATAGTCTCATGCCAAAATGAGAGGCTAAAGCCCTTTGATTTATGGGCCAAAGAAGTTATTGCTGCAGTCAGCATCCACATAAGGAGTTCCTTAGATCAGAAACTTGCCGTTTGATCCCCCCTCAGGTTCAAAAGGGCAAGTTGCAAGGAGGCATTAGATGGGGGCGTTTAATTTTTTCCCTGACGCTTTGGCAAAGTGCACAACCAGAGTAAAAATTTCCACATTTAATCATAAGAAGATCTAAAAATAAAGATACAAAAATTTAATATCAATAACAGCAACAGCAACAGCAACCACTCCCCCCCCCAAGCCCTTAAGCAATACTCCATCCCAACAGTCTGTTCAGCAGCTTCGGTGTTTGTAGCTGGAGTCAGTCAGGGCCCCACCCTCCCAGGCCAGGTGGAAAAAGGCATGCAGGACAGGGAGCAGGGCTAAACAGCACAAGGCGCAGACAGTCTGTTATTGGTTCTTCTCATCTTATGTTTATTTAAATGTTTAAATAAAGTTAAAGGAAGTTGCAGGATGGTGGGGGCAAATGGGTTCAGGGCAGCAGTCCTGGTAAATGACTTTTCCCTCTGCATGTCATTTTCCTCTTCCCTAAAAATGATCCTAGCCTTGTTAGGGAGGGAAGACTGGCACTGCGCACTGCCTTTTTAAATTTTAATCCAGAAGAGCTTGGGGCTGTAATATTAACCGGGAAAATGGCATGGTGTGAGGGTTTAACAAACACTGCACACGTGTATTAGGGCTACCACCTGAATTGTAAACCAGCTGACTAAATTTGCAGAGAAATATAAATAACGGTTCTTGAAAGTGCAGGGGGAGAAGTACACTTTTTTGTTTTAAGAACAAGCCGGCATTGTTAACTTCAAATATCAGCTTTTGTTGCACATCAGACTTTAACCCTGGTTGATGTAAATTGTGGGAGTAAATTGACGGCTTTGGGGGCGGCATAATGTTTGCGATTCTTTCCTGCCCTTTTCATGGGGGAACAGAAGCACACATGTGCAGAAGGGATGGGGGAGTAGCGATGCCCAATGATGTTCATTGTTGTGTCACACCGTGCCCACTGGTGTGAATGAAACTTAGTGTGTCATGCCTGTATGCCAGTCAAAAAGCCACAGTTCCATAGCTCAACAGGTTCTTCAATGTGTAAAGAACATTAGAAAACAGCCAGAAGCCCTAGCGTTATAATCGGGAAAACTAATGTAACATTCCTCCTGTTTGAACACATCCTTAGTTATGCTCATTCATTTCAGTGGGTCTAGCATAGGCTACAACCCAAGGTTCTTTTTCTGAAGGGTTGTGGATGATGCCGTTTTCCCTACCTTCCACTGAGAGCACAGCACCTTTTTATTCCAGTTGATTTGGTTTCTTAACACCTTCTCTGTGCCCTCTACACTCTTGAGGGCCAAGTTTGAGGCTCGACCGTGGAGATAGAAATAGCAGCGGGAGAATGGCAGAGTAAGTGCTTAGGTTAATTTGATTTTTTTAAAAATACAGACATATAGTGTGAGATCTGCTGTCACCATCAAATAGTTTTTAATTAATCCAACCAAAAATTTATTTAGGTGGGGAATTTGTATTGGGCACCAAGGGGGCTTCCAGCAGAAATCAAAAGCAGTGCTGGTGGAATACAAGCCAATTTAGTTAGATCACAAAAAAAACAACAACAGCTCCAGCATTAGAAACCAACCAACCGTCCAACCCCAAAACAACAGATCCCGGTTAAATGGTGCGAAAGCTTGAAAATAATAAAACCTTTGTCACCTGGAATCTTGAAGTAGGTGCTAGATAAGGATGTCTGGTGAGGAAATTCAAAAAATTAGGGGTGCCACAATTGAAAAGGCCGATCGTATGCCTAGAGGGAAGTGCACAGATCAGAGAATCCAATAAGTGATTCCTAGGAATAGAAACAGGGCCAGCCCGATACATTTTCCTCTCTGAAGCAAAGGGCAGGAGAAGAAAACAAGGGCTTGCCAGATAAGGTCTGTGGCCCATCTAATCCAGCTTCCTATTCTCACAGTGGCCAACAAGATGCCTATGGGAAGCCAGCAAGCAGGAACTGAATTCAACACCACTCGCCTCACTTGCAATTCCCAGCAAGTGGTATTCAGAGGTCTACTGCCTCCAACCATGGAGCAGAATATAGACATCACAACTAGTAGCCTTATCCTCCATGATTTCCACTAATACCCTTTTAAAGTGGCCATCTTGTGGGAGTGAATTCTATAGCTGACCTACAAAGGACTTCCTTTTGCTTGTCCTGCATCTTCCCTCATTCATTTCTTTGGATGTCCACGAGTTTAGATTTGTAACCTGCTCTGGGGCCTGGTAGTGAAGGGCAGTTAATACTATATAATAGCAGATCCGGGTTTGCCACTTTTTTGACCCATGGGCAGATTTGCAAGTTGGATAAACTTATATGTGCAACCAAGCAAACGCTGCTCCCTATTCTATGAGTGGCAATAGAATGCCTCTCATAAGCCTTATTTCACTGGGGAAAATGAACCTCGTAGGCATCAGGGAATGTTGCTTTGGCCACATCTGCACTCACAGGCACCATGCTGGTGTGTGTCCTGCTTCTAATATGTAAGGGATGCGGGTGGCGCTGTGGTCTAAACCACTGAGCCTCTTGGGTTTGCTGATCAGAAGGTCAGCGGTTTGAATCCCCATGATGGGTTGAGCTCCCATTGCTCTATCCCAGCTCCTGCCAACCTAGCAGTTCGAAAGCACGCCAGTGAAAGTAGATAAAAAGGTACCACTGTGGCGGGAAGGTAAAGAGCATTTCTGTGTGCTCTGGTTTCTGTCACGGTGTCCCGTTGCGCCAGAAGCGGTTTAGCCCTGCTGGCTACATGACCCAGAAAGCTGTCTATGGACAAACGCCAGCTCCCTTGGCCTGAAAGCGAGATGAGCGCTGCAGCCCCATAGTCGCCTTTGACTGGACTTAACCGTTCAGGGTCCTTCACCTTTACCTTTACCTCAATAGTAATGTGTATTACTTGACATGTTTGTGGTAAGCCAGCTCTGCTGTGTTTGGGGACCTCCTTGTTAGTCTATTTCTTTTCAGTCAGGCTAGACTTCTTCCCCAAAGTCATGCCACCAGTTGGCTGCTGGGCTGCAGCTGTGATTCCAGCATTGTGACTGTAACATTTAGAGGAGGGCAGCAGGGGAGAAATCACCCTGATCTATGGCTAGAGGGCTGTGACTCAGGAGTAGAGCACCTGCTCTTCATCTACTGAGATTCCTGCATTGCAGGGGGTTGGACTAGATGACCCTGGGGGTCTCTTCCAGCTCTATGATTCATATAATATCTGAAGCTCTGGAGAACTGCTGCCAGTCAGTGTAGGCAATGCTGAGCTAGATGGACCAGTGGCCTGACTCAGTGCATGGCAGCTTTCTTTGCTGCACTGGTTTTTGGGTGGATCTTCTGGGTTTCCAAGCCCTCCCGGTGCGCAGCACATTATCCTCTTTCTAACAATCTGCCAGTTAGAGACACAACAGGTGCCGCAGAGAAATCTAATCCTTCTCTTTGTCTGGGCTCCCAATCTGCAAAATAGGGATGACGGCATTTCTTTGCTCTTGTTAAATATGAAGAAAGAGGCTATTTTGGTTGGTCGTGGCTGGGATGTATTGTGGGAAAGCACAAAGAATCCCAGGAGCTGGATTAAAAGTGCTGGGTGTGGTTTTGTTATTTCGCTGATTATCATTTTGTCCAGACTTTGCTCCCGAGAAGCTCACAGAGGTTCATATGGCGCTGCTGTTTCATCCTCACAGCAGCCCTGTGAGGTAGGCTATGTGGTCCAGGGCCACCCAGTCTGCTTTATGGCTTCGTGGGGATTTCAGCCTGGCTCTCTCCACTCCTAGTCTAGCCCTCTTGCCACTGCATCTGTGGTAGGGATGTTGCTGGACTTCCAAGTCCCATCAGCCCGAACCAGAAAGACGAATGGTCCAGGATCATGGGAGTTGTTGTCCGACAACATTTGGAGGGTCAGTTGTTCCCCACCCTCTACACTACAACATTCTAGCTTACACATGTACTTGACACAAAAGGGTGTGGATTTTCAGACCCACCCACACCCACACCCACACATCACCATAGATTCTTTGGGGACAGCTGTAGAAAGCTCTCCTAGTGCTTTCTTTACTAAACTTTATCATTATTATAATTTTTTTAAAAAACCAATATTAAACTTGAAACATTGTTCCTGGCAAATGAAGGCAGTATCACCTCCACAATCTGCAGAAGGGATGAGCAGACTGCGCTCCGTTTTTTCCTGAAAACGAGAAGGAATCATTGCTTTTAAGCACAATTCATTTTGAAGGCTGGCCAGCCTTTCCAAAAAGGAGTGGATCCACGGCAGATGTGGCACATGACTCACACGAGCCTTATCTTAACCCTTAGTGCCATTTCCCATGCATACATGCATAATATTATTATTAATTGTTGTTGGACTCCATTTCACATCAGCCCCGGTCAGCATGGCTATTGGCCATGGATGATGGGAGTTGTAGTCCAGCAATATCTGGAGAAGAAGAGAAGAGTTTGGATTTGATACCCCGCTTTATCACTACACTAGTGATACCAGCTAACATTCTCCTTTCCCTTCCTCCCCCACAACAAACACTCTGTGAGGTGAGTGGGGCTGAGAGACTTCAAAGAAGTGTGACTGGCCCAGGGTCACCCAGCAGCTGCATGTGGAGGAGCAGAGACGCGAACCCAGTTCCCCAGATTACGAGTCTATCGCTCTTAACCACTACACCACACTGGCTCTCCCTGGAGGGCTTCCTACCCCAATCTTACACGGAGGCAGGCGTGCCTACTCTAGGGGGCAGAGGCATCTTCAGCCCCATCAATATTCCTTAGCAGGGGGCTTCACCCCACCTCCCCAAATACTGAGGGGGTGGAAGAGGCCAAACTGCTGAGCCGAGCGCAGCATCAAATGCAGGTGCTTCCTGAGCGTGCATGAGAAGGAGCTATGGCCATTGAAGTTGTGTGGCACTGGGCAAGGCCTCCTCACGACGACATGCCTCCTCCCAGTGATAAGCGCATTGCTTGTGTGACGTCACAGGTGCGCAATGCGTGTCGTGCATGCAATGTCGCAGCTGTGCACTGCACGCCACATGTGTGACATTGCACACGCCACTCATCACTGAACCCCCAGTCTTTGGCTCAAGGTGGTTCCTCTGCACGGAGGCATCTTCCTTCCTCCCTCCTTTTTCGTTAAAAGGTATTTGTTAAAATGCCACTCTTGCTTTGAAATATCCTGTCTCCTGCACCTGAGATAGCTGATTCCTTCAGGGTTAACTGTTCTTGGGTCATTATGCTCACAGGACAACTTCTCTCTCTCTCTCTCTCTCATCAGATGCCCTGGATTCCTGACATGCAAAGCCTTATTTCAGGGGTGGGTGTGTCCAGAAGCCATTAGTCTCTGCCTCCCCCTGCCGGCCAATGTCTGTCACATGCAGTTCCACAACATTCAAAAAATGCTCCTTGTGAAGATCCCTCAACTTTGCCTCTTCTTATTTGCCCAGGATAATAATAAATCAGAAGAGCATGAGAGCGGCTTTGAGAGAGGATTCCAACCAGTTTTCTCATAAAAGTGCAGAGTCTGACTCAGAAAGAGCAGTGTGGGCGGTAGAATCTTCTTATGTTAAAGAACCACTGAATGATGAGGGTTGAAGGTGAAGTTATTATTTCAAAAAAAGTTTTCTAATTCATTCTCTGTCGTTTTTGGGTGGTTGTTCCCACATGGAGATGCCTATTGAATTGGCCTCTGCTAGATCCTGCCCTAGATTTTGTGGTTTCATGTAAGAGGAACACAAAACAGGAAGCCTGCTTCTTCTGAGTCATACAATTGTGGCTGTCCAGGATTTCTGACAGGGTCCTTCATAGCACAAGCTGGAGATGCCAGGGACTGAGCCCAAGACCCTCTGCATTCAAAGCAGATTCTTCCCCACAGAGCTATGGTCCTTTCCCCATTACTGCTGCCTCAGCAGAGAGCCAGTGTGGTGTAGTGGCTAAGAGCGGTGGACTCGTAATCTGGTGAACCGGGTTTGCTTCTCCGCTCCTCCACATGCAGCTGCTGGGTGACCTTGGGCCAGTCACACTTCTTTGAAGTCTCTCAGCCCCACTCACCTCACAGAGTGTTTGTTGTGGGGGAGGAAGGGAAAGGAAAGGAGAATGTTAGCCACTTTGAGACTCCTTCGGGTAGTGATAAAGCGGGATATCAAATCCAAACTCTTCTTCTTCTCTTCTTCTTATGAAGACCTTATTTGACCCAGACTTTCCCTAACCCACCAGATTGCAACCTGTTCTATGTGCACGGATCCTTCCTATCTTATTTTATTTGCTTTTGTATGTTTTTATACCATGGCTTTTATGCTCTTAGGTTTTTTAAATAGATATTGTGTTTCTATTGTACATAGTGTACACGGCTTAGACATCATTAAACGAAATATTCAGTGGTTTGGAAATGCTTCTAAATAATCAATAAGCAAACAAATTTCAGATTTATTAATAAGGCAACCAAGTACAGATTGTAGCCAAACAGAAACATATTAGCATAAGCCAGGTATAGAGAAACATCTGGCTGGGTTTCCCAGACACTCTGGGTGGCTTCCAACAAAATATTAAAATACAATAATCTATTAAACATTAAGAGCTTCCCTAAACAGGGCTGCCTTCAGATGTCTTCTAAAAGTCTGGTAGTTGTTTTTCTCTTTGACATCTGGTGGGAGGGTGTCCCCCAGGGCGGGTGCCACTACCAAGAAGGCCCTCTGCCTGGTTCCCTGTAACTTGGCTTCTCGCAGTGAGGGAACCACTAGAAGGCCCTCGGCAGTGGACCTCAGTGTCCTGGGCAGAACGATCGGGGTGGAGACACTCCTTCAGGTATCCTGTGCCAAGGCCGTTTAGGGCTTTAAAGGTCAGCACCAACACTTTGAATTGTGCTTGGAAACATACTGGAAGCCAATGTAGGTCTTTCAGGACCGGTGTTATGTGGTCCCTGCTGCTGCTCCGAGTCACCAGTCTTGCTGCCTCATTCTGGATTAGTTGTAGTTTCCGGGTCACCTTCAAAGGTAGCCCCACATAGAACGCATTGCAGTAGTCCAAGCGAGAGGTAACTCATGGGAGTTGGAGTCCAGCAGCATCTGGAGGACCTCTGCCTCCCCATTCCTGCCACAGATGCGTCTTCTTTCTTGCCCCATGAAGGCAACGAAGCATCCTTTCTCCCTCCTTTCCTCTCTCAGTCCTCTGTGTTCTCTCTTGCAGGGAGAGCCTCTGGATGCGACCCCTTCCACGTCAATGAATAACGAACTGGAAGTTCCCGTCAGTGGGGACTTTGAAATCCGTGAGGAGGAGGAGGTGGCAGCTCAGACGGAGCTCAGCAATGAAGTGGTTGCCCTGGTTACCCCAGCCTCCGGGCCGGTGCTGAGGAAGAATGCTGAGCCGGGGCTTGTAGACAATACAATAGAATCTGGAAACTCGGCTGCACAGCTCCCCCAGAAAAACATCTTGGAAAGGAAAGAGGTCCTCATAGGTAGGTACTTATTCTGAGGTATAATGGGTGTTGTAAATCAGGCCTGGGGAACTTTTGGCCCTCCAGATGTTGCTGAACTTCAGCTCCCATCATCCCCAACAAGCATGATCAATGGGCAAGGATGATGGTGTTATAATCCAGCAAAATCTGGAGGACCAAAGGTTTCCCATACCTGTTTAAAATGGCTTTATAATTACATTTTACTGATTCTGCCTTGGTATGCATTTTGCATATATATATAAAGTCTTTGAGCAGAGGGTGTTTTTTTTTAAAGCAGGTTAGTTGTCTTTTGATGTTTTCTATCCCATCTTTAGGGACGCGGGTGGCGCTGTGGGTAAAAGCCTCAGCGCCTAGGGCTTGCCGATCGAAAGGTCGGCGGTTCGAATCCCCGCGGCGGGGTGCGCTCCCGTTGCTCGGTCCCAGCGCCTGCCAACCTAGCAGTTCGAAAGCACCCCCGGGTGCAAGTAGATAAATAGGGATCGCCTACTAGCGGGAAGGTAAACGGCGTTTCCGTGTGCGGCTCTGGCTCGCCAGATGCAGCTTTGTCACGCTGGCCACGTGACCCGGAAGTGTCTGCGGACAGCGCTGGCCCCCGGCCTCTTGAGTGAGATGGGCGCACAACCCTAGAGTCTGTCAAGACTGGCCCGTACGGGCAGGGGTACCTTTACCTTACTTTTATCCCATCTTTATGCCATGGTGGAACCCAAGACAATGTAGATGTGGTTTCCTGGTGGTCAGTCAAATAAGTACTGAGCAGACCCAGACCTGTTTAGCTTCAGCAAGGTGGTGGCCCCACGTTCCTTCATACCATATGCCCACCACGTGTCCCCAATTGCTTGCTTACCAATTCATTATTCGGCTTATTTCAATTTGGTCTTTTGGATGACAAAATGAAGAACGTTAAGAAGAGCCTTGCTGGGTGAGTTCACATGGCCTTTCCAGTCCAGCATTCTGTTCCCTGCAGCAGCCAATCAGATTCTTCTCGGAAGCCCAGAAGCAGGGCATAAAGGCAATAGCCCTTCTTCACTGTTTGCAACTCCCTGCACTGCTTCCAATTGCAATTTTTTATTTTTTTATTTTTGCAATTGGCATGAAGGAGTTGTCATGCTGCCACTGGACTTGAAGGTTCCATTTAACAACCACAGCCAATAGCAGCTAATAGGTATCTTCCCCTCCATAGGTGTCTTTACAATCTAGTCTATGACTGCATTCACAGGACAGTTTATTCTGTTTCCCTGGCACTTCCTGAACTGTTAATTTTTGCATTGTCGTTGAGCTTTCCAGAGACATACAAACCGCTTCTGGAAATATGGTGGAATATAGCAAAACTTTAGCACTCATTTCCAGGTTAATAACTTCCGGGGGGGTGGGGGGACGCAAACAAAACATTCATCCAGAAAAACCACAGGAGTAAAGGGACAGAATTTGGGGTGGTATACTGGTTTATAGTTCTTTTCTGTTGTTTTCACGGGGGAACAGAAACACGCATATGTGGAAAAAGAAGGATGAGTGGCAAATGAAATTTAGTGTGACATGCTGGTATAGTGATTTAAAAAAAACCCACTGTTCCATAACAGGTACTGCAGTGGAAAAGGAACACTGGAAGTGTCAGCATTCAGATCAGCAAAACTAAAGCAATATTTCCCACATCTGAATATAACTTACAAATGCAGTAGAGAGGGCTTTGACATGCTAGAATGGATTGTACCACTACTGATTGCAGTGTGTGTGTGTGTTGCCATTTTGAATGCTCCTCCCCTGTCCACTTTTTTAAAATAAACAAAACAAAACAAAATAAAACACTCTCCATGTAAATAGAAAATAGCATGCAGGAGGTGGTCTCAAATTCACCAAGAATCAAGGTATACCAGGGGAGCATTCTGGAATAGGACCCCCACTTTTTTTTCTGAAATGGTGCTGCCTCAGATAGCGAGGGACCAAAAAGCTCAGTGTGTGAATATTCACACAGAAGGTTCCCCATTTAATCCCAGCCATTTCCAGTTTTGAAAAAGGACTGTAAATGTTACCTTTGTAGTTTCTACACACACACACACACACACACACACACACACACACACACACGTCTCCATCCTGCTATCCAGGCAAGCGAGAGAGTAATGGTCCAAGTTCAAGGACGCGTTTCATTTCAACACAACAAAAGGGCCCAAGGAGGGTGTAAAACAAGGCTGGTGAGGAGTGTGACCCTGGGGGAGGAGGGGCATGGCCTCAGGAGAGCCTGAGCTTCCTTGACCTGAGCTGCTCCACCCCTGTCCTGGAGGAGGGTTGCATCCTAAAAATAAAAATAATAAAAAAAATATTTTTTTAAATTTATATCCCACCCTCCCCAGCCGAAACCGGGCTCAGAGCTGCTAACAACAGTAAAAGTAACACAGTTTACATAAAATCACAATCAATTAATTGAAATACATACTAAAATCAATTCATTCTAAAATCAATTCAGCATCAAATTAATGGCAACCATTGGGCTACCCTTCTGAGATATTACTGACTCTGCATCTTTTGCTGCCTTCTTTACAGCCGTGATTGTGGGCGGGGTCGTTGGAGCTCTCTTTGCTGCCTTCCTGGTGATGCTGCTCATCTACCGGATGAAAAAGAAGGACGAGGGGAGCTATACCTTGGAGGAGCCAAAGCAGGCGAGTGTCACGTACCAAAAACCCGACAAGCAGGAGGAATTCTATGCATAAATCAGTGCCTCGCCACCTCTTTTTCTGTCCCGATGCCGTCCTTTTTTTAAGAAACAGAAACAAAAAAGAAAAAAATCTCTCTTATTATTCACCCAGCCTCTTTTTCTCTCTCTTTCTAATCAAGTCTGTGAATTTTAACAAAGAAGCCTAGAAGAAACCGACAGTTTTTTTAAAAAAAGTATCATGTATGTTATTTGCTTTTAAAAAGGAAAGGGGAAGGTTGAATCAGAAAGCATCAGAATGTGGAGCAAACAGTGAACTCCTGGCTGGATGAACGCTTGAGTTAGCACCTCTGCCAGGAACGGTCTCGAGTCACACCTCCCTCAGGTCTAGAGCCTTGACTTATTTTGTTTCGAATGAGGTGGTCCGTTTTGGTTTCTGGCACTTTGCAGCACTCTTCAAGGCGAGATCTTTTTTGACTCGACTGACTCCGCTCAACTAGGAGGTGCAACAGCTAGGAGATGCAACATCTGATCATCTGGGCTGCTCACAGCTCCCTCCTGCAATCGGTCAGTTGCGATGGACATTTTAATTGCTTCCTTGGAGATCTCACATGGTCCACAGAGAGCACCTTTCCCCAGCTGTGCATTGTTTCCTTGCCGAGAGCACCTCCCTTCCTCCCATTCCTACTCACAACCACCACTTTGAAACTTATCTCCCTACAGAAGGACCATCCTAGGCTTGCAGAGGTTTCCGGTTAAACCTTATGCCCAGATTCATTCAGCTGGCTTTCACTGTGACCTTGAAGACTCAACTTGCATGGTATTGCAAGCTCAGGCAGATGACCAAGAAACACTTTTCTAAGACATTATTTGTGGGAAAACAGTGTGGAAAAGGCAAGCTTTTTCTGAAGTCTGTAGGACATAGATAATGTGTCACACTTCTCAACCAGTGGTGTGGGTCCTTTCCTTCTTTATAAGGGTATGGGGGAATATGGGGGAAGGGAGAAGGACAACATGAGTCCATGATCTGCTGCAGCAGATCTTTGGTTCCATATAACTCTGTAAATAAATGGAAGTGGTAAAAAGTTAATAAACACCAGTGCTCAACTGTTGGGCTGAAACCTGCATCTCCAAAGCAGGAATTTGTAGGTCAGCATCAAGCTGGGGAGTGTGACATTTCACCCAAACCTTCCCTGCTAAAGCAGATGTCACATTTTCACTGGCAACGTAGGCGAGGGAATAGTGCTGACCCATAGATTGGCAGATGACCTATGGCCCAAATGCCACAGAGGGACCAAATGGATAAATTGGCGATTGAACTGTATGCAATAAAAATGAAGGCAAGGAAAGACAAATGTTCACTCTTACATATCAGAAAGCCAAGGGTACTAAAAAACAAAAAACAAAACAAAAACACCAATATGGGTGGGGAAAATGCAATGCAATTGAAAACCACCAATGGGTGATAAGGGTGTTTTAAATTATGCATCACTAATAGGATGCTATTGCAAGGTGCCAATATGTATTGGCAAATGCCCATTCAAATTGCATTGACTGAATGTTGTACACACACCTTGGCTGGAGCAGCAAGCCAAGTGATCACAGTTCAGAGATATGTAAGTAAACAGGGGAAGATTCAGAGTTGAGCCACAAAGTTGCTACTGAGCTTGGCACATTGGATATACAAAGGAAAGCTGGGAACTCTGTTGAACTTTTCAAAAAGCAGGCTGGCAAAACCAGTAAAGGAAGTAGCAGAATGAACATATGGCAGCCTTCCCTAACCTAGTGCCCTCCAGGTGTTTTGGACAACAATTCCCATTGGCTGGGTGGGGATGATGGGAGCTGTTGTTTAAGACAGCTGACTTATAGCAGCAACATACATTTAACTTAGGCTGTGATCATATCAACACTTCCCTGGGAGTATGCCCCCTTTAAGCCAATGGGACCTACTTCTGAGTCCATATGTATAGGGTTTGGGATTAGAGTGGGGCATGCATGCAGGTCCTGCGCACAATGTTCCCATGACTGCTGGATATACCTCTGATTTTTACACATTTAGTGCAATCAGGATACCCAACTGAGATGTGCGTAGGGGATTCTAACCTGTGAGGATTCTAACTATTGGGGAAGGGCCATGGCTTTGTGGTAGAGCACCTTACTTGCATGCAGAAAGAAACCCCCAGGTTCAGTCCCTGCCATTTCTGGGTAGGGATGAGGAGGACTCCCATCTGAAACCCCTGAAAGCTGTTGCCTGCCGTCATAGACAATACTGAACTGGAGGTACCACCCGTCCGACTTCGTGTAAGGTATGTTCAAGCAAAACCTCATGCTCAGTGTGCAAAAGCTGGGGGGGGGATGTGGGAGCAGGGCACACTGGGGAGGTGGGGTGTGGTACTTGCTATTTGCTGCATAGTTTAAGCCAGGCACAGGCAAACTCGGCCCTCCAGACTATGTCCCATGATTCCTAGCTAACAGGACCAGTGGTCAGGGATGATGGGAATTGCAATCACAAAACAGCTGGGGGGGGGCGAGTTTGCCTATGCCTGGTTTAAGCCTTCATGTGCTATTATGAATATCTGAAGAGAACTGCTGCAATCTTAAGAATGCCTACCAATTCCCAGGTAAGTATGCAGGACGATAGACACCAAGGAGGGGAAAAAAATGTTCTAGAAACAATTTGGGGTTTTTTTTTGAGGATGGGAAGCTGTGTAGCTGTCAGTTTCTGGAGGTTTTGATGGAGAAGTGTGCATGCGCATCTATGAACAACAGCAAACAGATGACCCCCCCCCCAGCAAACCACAGTGAGAGCAAAGTTGACCCAACAATATTTTTGTTCTCTGTGTTAAGGCAAAAAAGGGAAAAAAGGGGGGCAAGAGTACATTGGAATCCCTCCCTCGATTTTGAAATTAAAGGTAACCCAAGGTGGTAATGCTAAACAAATGCAGGTATGTCAACCCCAACCCACCATCAATATTGCCATTACACTAATCAACAATGGGAGGGGAATGAGGTTGGCAGTTTGCCTTCATGTAGGAATTGGTTCCAAAGAGTCAAGTTGCCTGGCTTGCTTACTCGTAGCGAGCACTGTGCTGCCTTGGTGCGTGTGAATAAGGGGGGCTGGTCTCCCATTCAGAAAACTTTGAAAATGTCGCCCATGTGCTGAAGGAACTGGCTTCATGGTAGATTCTCAGGTTGTGCAATGAATAACCATAATTCATTCCAGCCTAGCTGAACCAGCAGATCTTGGCAATAACCTTCCGATCCTATTATTCTATTACAGCTACAAATCTCATTGTTCATGTTTCTTCTGGTCAGCTTAGCACTAGCCAATACAGTGCTCTCCAAATGCTGCCTGACTATAACTCCCATCGCCCCCAGTCGGCATAGCCAATGGTCAGGGATGATGGGTGTTGTAGTCCAACAGCGTTGGTTACCTGTAGGTTATATTTCCTGCTGAATGTTAATATCTCAAAGGAAATGAAAGCAGCATCATTGAGCTTTTGTGATGGAAACTACTAAATCGGTTTAGCCCAGCGGTAGCCAATTTGGTACATTCCAGATATTATTGGACTCCAGCTCCCATCATCACAAACCATTGTCGATGTTGGCAGAGGCCGATGGGAGTTGAAATTCAACATTTGGTGGGAACCACATTGGCTACTCTTGAGTTAGTTACAACCCCCCATTAATTTCAGTGGTTGTATCCAATGTCAATCATTCTTAGGGTAGACCCACTGAAATTAATGGGTATGACAAATTTCAGTCCATTAATTTCATTGGATGTACTCTGAGTAGAAGTGAGTTGGATCCAACCCAACGCTTCCATGACTATTAATCTTGTCACTTTTCCTTTGAACTCCTGGGTGTCTTTAAAATTCTTCCAGCTTTACACCAATTATCCTCATGCATGCAGATTAGAAACTCTTGAGAAGCATCTTTGTGTCTGGTTTCTAATGGTTTTTACACTGATTTCCGATGTAATTCCATGCATGCTGACTCAGAAATAAGCCTCACTACATTCAAATGGGGCTCACTCCCAGATAATTGTGCCTAAAGACTTCAGCCTTTGTAATATATCCAAAGCACTGCAAGGTCCTACTGGTTTGCGTGCAGAAAAGGAGACAAAGACTAAGTAACTGGCAGTGAAAGCCTGAAATCTCATGCGTGGGGGAGAAAGGATTAAAAAAATTCTCTTTAATATCTTGATTTTATTATGGAATTCTCTTTTTATAAATGCAAAAACTAGGCAATGCTTTTGCTGTATCTGTGACACTTTGGGACTCTGGGTGAGTTTATGCATTGATGGATCTGAGTTTTAACTTTGTTCCATGTGAGTTTTGATTCTTGGTACTCACACTCATGAAAAGGACATATTGCCATAACTCTGGAGTAGCAATTCTCATCAGTAGTCACTTTCAGTCTGATGCAGCTTTTTCTGTAGTTGTTTTTCTTTGTAAAAAATCTAGCGTCTCTTGGAAAACTGGAGAGGTTTATTAGGTCCTCCTAAAAGCCAATGAAGCAGCAGCTGTTTCCAAGGTATTGTCTTTCTTTCTAAGAGTATGTACATTCTATTAGGTGCCACTGTAGTGTTGTTTCCATAAGAAGCTAAGGCTGAACACAGCTGCACTTTAGCGACACCTAGTGACAGAAGGTGAGCATTACAACAGTTACTTTTAAAGGGGCAGGGGAGATGCCCTTATGTGTTTAATCCCAGCGAAACAGTGCATGTTTAAAAATAAGGATGCCTCTTAACGCAGGTAGCAATCAAAGATACCAAACTTTGCTATTGCCGCTGTTGTCCGACAACACAACAGGCCTATTTGCTGTGGCAGAGTTAATGGAAATGTTCCAACACAGAGTTCTAAAAATAATTTTCTACAGGTGTCGACTCCTTTACTACATTAGAAAAGGGGCTTCTTTGTAAATATAGAAACATGGCTGATTAGATTGGAGGAAGGAACTTCATCAATCTCTGTGACTGACTGACTGACTGATTGATTGATTCTCTGCGTGTTTATGCCACAACACCGTGAAAACTCAGCTCAGTGAAATGAGGAAATTGAAACAAAAGTGATTTGTTACGCAAAGATGTCCTTTTTCTGAGTGTGCCACTGTGCCAGCATGGCCAATGGTCAGGGAGGATGTTATCCTGAAAGACACATGGTTGGGGGAAGGCATTAAAAGAAAAAGGAAGGCAATCCAAATAAAGCATGCTGTGAAGCATGCCATTCTGCCTAGAGAGCCACACAGTAGTCCTCATTCATTCCAATATACTCATTCAAACAGGTATGACTTCCTTCCCTTAAATGAAGAATGCAGATGTCAAGTGCTTTGTACATTGACGAGGACCTTCCTCCTTGAACAAAGGAGGGTGTATATTGTCATCAGTTCCTTGAGCAGCTAGAGCTTGCACCCCCTGGCTCATCAAAGACAAAAAGCGCATACCAGGAAATGTCTTCTTCACAAGCATTCTACTGTAGGGATAGGCAACAGGGTGTCATGCCAATATTGTTGGACTCCATCTCCCATCATTCCTGAGCATTGGCTGGAGCGAATGGAAATTGGGAGTCCAACAACAACTGGAGATACACCACTTTGCCTACCTTAGTTCTATGTGATCCCGATAGGAACATTAAAAATGGAATAAACATCAGCAGAAGCAACTCACAAATACCTGGAAGTGCTTCTCAAAAGTTGTTTATATAACATCTGAGCAGTTTTAATGACCAAAGCATACACAGCTCATTGAACACTTTGGTCTGTCCTGGGACTACTGATTATGCTGTTAGCCTTTTTCTAAGGGCCAAAGTGAACAGGCAAAGGGAAACTGGAATTAAACCAGTCCAACATCCTGAATTCTTTCTGAGATTCTTCTGGCTTTGAAATAATGGTCTGAAGTGTTCTGGTGCCTTTGCAATGTGGAGAAAAACGGATCCATTCTCCACAATGTAGATGCTCTTTCTCAAAGCATGCATCTATTGCAAAGACTGGGGACCTGTTTCCTTCCATGTGTTGTTAAACTATAAGCCACATAAGCTCCAGACAGCATGGTTAAGAGTCAAGGATAATGGGAGTTGTAGTCTAGCAACATCTGGAGGGCCAAAACTTACCCACCTCTGTTCTATTGCAAAGCAATTGTATTTCCTTGGAAATCAAATATCTAAATAATGTTAAAACAAAAAAAATTCCTTCCAGCATGCACACGAAAGCTCATACCAAGAATTAACTTAGTTGGTCTTTAAGGTGCTACTGGAATGAATTTTTTTGTTTTGACTATGGCAGACCAACACGGCTGCCTATCTGTAACTAAATAATGTTCTTACTGGAAACGTAAAATATTCTTCTCCTGCAAATCCATTGAGTTTCTATGATGAAGGTTGATGGCTGCGCGACAGCCAGTGTTGCCAGCTCTTGTGTGCTTTTTGCCTTTTCCCCTCTTGATCCTTTATCTCGATCCTCTAGATACTGGCTGAAATTTTCCACTAAAAAATGATCTCTCTGCAACAAAGCATCATCTCCTTTCATCCCACCAACCAAAGTTAATTGGCAATTTTGCTCCACTTAAAGATTAATGGGATGCTCTCTTCTCCTAGCTTTAACACTTCAAAAGGCCTTCATTTTCTTGGGAAAGGTCACTGCACTCCTATTACATAACATTTTGCTTGAGTCTTACCAAGGGGCTTTGCTTACAACCCTACTGAATGGATACAAACCACCTCCAGTTGACAGAAGTTTGACTGTGGGGATGATGTGAATATGTTACGGTGTGCGTATGCATATGTGTGTATGTATATGTATGTAGTTAATGTATATATGTACATGTTTTTTGTATGTACATATAGATACACACACAATATTAATTTAAACTGTGTACATAAGCAAGGAAGAACCCTGTTTATATTGGTGGGCACCAGGACATCTAAATTTTTCACAGACGCCCGGCCAAGCAGATGACTGACAAGGGTAGATGAAGCTCCAGTTCCCTTTCCAGGAGGTCAAAATCACTATTAAGATGCACAACGACCTGTAACAAAATGTTGCAGTGTGGAGTGTTTCTGTTCAGGGTTCCAGCCAGACAGTTATGCCCACTTCTACCCTACTCCCATTTTCCCTTTTCCAGCTCCCTGACTGTTAGTCAGCAATGTTCCGTCTTTCTTGCTCATTATTTCTTTGCTCAAATATTTCTTTGTACTTCCTCAAACTTTGGGGATTCCCCACCTTACCTGGTGGCTCAGTTAATGTTCATCTTGTGTTCCTAGATCTAAATCAATAAAGTTTGGAACCTGAGGCATTTTTTAAAAAATGGTACCCCAACTTCATAATATCTATAAAAATAAAGATCATTTGTAGACCTTTTAATGATACACAAGTCTCTGCTTGAAGCATCTTCCTTAAAGTGCAATCCTACACATGTCTATTGGTAAATAAATCCCACTGAGTTTAATGTAGGCGCAGGACAGCAGCCTAAATATGCCTCATGGCCAGGCCACACAATGAACACTATATAGGAGCCAAATCTGTGGCCCTTCAGATGTTGCTGGACTACAAATTCCATCATACATGGCTGGAGCTGGTGTGGGTTGGAATCCAGTGGAAGGTGAAAGGTTCTCCTGATACATCTGATTAAAGAAGTCTTCCTCAATCTGATGCCCTCAAGGTGTTATTGGACTCCCATCATCTCTGATCATTGGGCATGTTGGCTGGAGCTCAAGAGAGTTGGAGTCCACCAAGCATATCCAGAAGGTCATAACAGGTGCAAGCCCTTAGCGTTCAACTTTGAATACATTG